GAACTCATGCGGAAGTGGCTTTAGCTTCACAGTGCTGTGCTTTAACCCGCTGCGCCACCAGGGAGGGCCAAGTCTCAGCTTTTTAAAAAAGATTATTTATTTATTTAATACAAGAACCCAGGTACAGGCCAGAGATACTGGTGGGGAGGGGGGTTGAGAGGATTCACCAGAGAGAATGGGGAACCGGCAGATGGACTGAAAATACACTGCTGAGGGAGCAGCAAGCGAGACAGGAGAGGTCTGCTGCACCATGTGGGTCACTCCCTGGCTGGGGATCGAACTCATGCTGCAGTGGCTGCAGACAGCTCCACAGTGCTGCACTTTATTGTGTTGTGCCACCAGGGAGGGCCCTGAGTCTCAGCTTTCTTATCTGCCATATAAAGATTTCGGTAGCACCTTGTGCATAAAATTGTTGTGAAATTTAAATGAGATAATCCATGCCATGCTCTTAGTAGAGTATGTGACACAGACATGCTCAATAAATACAAACTGTGATCCTATACTACCCTTCTTTACACTCAGAGTGACTTATTTCCCTGCGGTCTCTCTGATCACCAATGCTCATGGATTTGATGGTAGCCCCTCCCCCTTCTAGCCAGTCCTCCTAGCCACGATTAGGCAATTTTAAATGGTCCCATGACCATAGTTTAAACAATTACTATAATCTGAATTACCAGATTGCCACACTCAACAAAGGGCTTCGATTTCTTTCACATAGCATAGGTGCTAATACCAGTAAGAGCGAACACCTAGATCGCTATGTACCAAGCCAGGCATATAGTACATTTTCAGTTTATTTAATCCTCAAGACAGCCTTATGAGGTAGGTGTCATTATTATCCCCCATTTGACAAACAGGAAAACTGAAGCAGAGGAATTCTGTAACTTTCCCAGAGGCACACGGCTGCTAAGCAGTGGAAGCTAGCCTCAAGTCCAACTCTGACTTAAGATCCAACTCTTTCTAAAACATAAGACCTTTATCCCCTCATTAGTGGATAGATAAAATCTGCATGCTAAGAAGAATCAGGTACCTTTTGCTGTGTAACTACCCCAAAGCTGAGGGGCTTAAACAGCAGTCGATTATTTCTCCCACTTCTGCGGACTGCCTGCAGTGTCTGCTGTTGATCTTGCCCGGACTGCCTCATACAATTGCATTTATCTGGAGGCTTTGTGGGGCTTGGGCTCAGGAGAGCACTGGCACGCAGGAAGCCTTCCTTTCAGCTGGCCCTGTATCCTACCTGGTGGGTGGTCAGAGTGTCATGGTCTTGGGGTGCCAAGAGCAGAGGTGGAGGCTGCCTCTGGTCTCCAGAGTACTAGAAGTTGTAACAGCATCAGTTCCACTGTGTTCTATCAGCAAAAGCAAACCAGGAGTTCAGCTCAGATTTAAGAGAGGAAGAAATCGACTCCACTTTTTTTCTTAAAGATTTATTTATTTTATGCATACAGAACTGGGGTACAGGCAAGAGGTGCAGGGGTGGTGAGAGGCTTCACCAGAGACAGAGTGGGGAGCAGAACAGGCTGACTGACAATGTACACTGCTGAGGGGAGCAGCGAGTGGGTCAGGAGAGGTCTGCTGCGCCCTGTGGGTCACCTCCAGGGCGAGGATTGAACTCATGCTGCAGTGGCTTTAGCTTATTGATGTGCTTTAACCCGCTGCACCACCAGGGAGGACAGACTCCAGTTTCTGCAAGGAGAAACTCCAAAATCACATTGCAAAAACATGTGTTTGCTAGGATAGGAGAAAACTGCAGCCAGTAACTGTCTACCTCCGAGATCACATGTGATGCTTCTCTGTTAGCAGGGGGAGCTACTGGAACCGGGGCGGAAGCAGCAGCCAGTTGAAACTGCATCATGGAAGGCAGGTGGGTCCGGAGCTCTTGTTTCTTCAGCTTTGCCTTGCACCCCGGGGACTTGGGGGAACCTGAAGGAGACAGGTAGAAGAGAGACATATAGGAGACTTGGAAGAGACCCAAAGGTGAGAGACACGTGGGGGTGGTTGGGCACTGGCAGCCATTATCCTGATGTGGTATCATCTCTCTTCCTAGCTCTCGAAGGCCCGTCTTTAATTCCTTCTTGCGGGCCCCCACCAGAAGGTGCCTTAGACTTGTGGCAAACTTCTTGGCCTCTGTGTCCCCATGTAAGACCAGGTCTGTTTGGTTGGGATTTTCTCACAAGGAGTTGGATAAGTTGGGGCATTTTATTAGCAAATTATTAATAATATCCTTTCTTTTACACACACTAATTCTAATAAGGGTCTATCATACCGAGTGTCTGCTTCCTTTGTCTTTATGTGGCATGTTGCAGGATTCCTTTAAGAGAGTATACCCCTTAATAGTTTGGGGTTCCTGTGTGCCCCTAAGTTGCATACTAACATTGGTAGCACATGACCCAATGCCAACTGACTCATCCAGAAAAAATAAGGGACTATTTATTGGGTCATTTTAATTGTAAATGCAAAGGTTATTGTGGCCTAGTCATCAGGACTCGGTCTCGTCTTTCCTTCTCTCAGGTGAGGCTGTCTCCACAGAGCGGTATATTTGACACTAGTACCTTCATGCTTACAGTGTCACTAAAGACATTTTTCTTTAAATTTTCTCACCCAGCATCCCCAGATTGCATGTCATTGGTCTGACTCTAGACACACCTCCACTTCTGCAGTCACCTCTAAGGCCAGGAAGGTGTAACACGCTGATTGACCATGTTTAGAGCACATATCTGTGGAATGTCACGGGGCCCACGCGCGTGCTGGTAAATGTTTAACAAGCGGCTCTATGGGGCGGCAGGGGAGGGGTTCACTTGTAGTGTTTGCTAAGCTCAGTGGTGTCCATCTTCCCACTGGCTGGTTTCAGGCAGCTCTCATGATGCTCTCTAAAGAGGGAGTTGGGAAAAGATGGCACATTCAGAGCTAGTGGAGGTGGTCCAGAGCAGAGCACTATGGAAGCCCACCCAGAGCACAATGCTGAGAGTGGTGGTGGTGGGGG